TGCGCGCAACAACATGATGGCCGAACCGTTGGCCATTGGGACCCATCAGGATTCACTCTCAAATAAGGGAGACCATGGCTTTCGCCCGTACACAGACACACCGAATCGATTTAAAAATCCTCAAGCTGAGCGCCTCACCTGAGCCGTAGCCTTTGGCATGGAGAAGACCCGGAAGGGCGCGTCCTGACATTCAGCTGATGGCACTCCCTCGAAAGGTCAAAGGGGATGAAACCAAAATGATGGACATGTCTTTCACCCAACAACAGGATTGTTCCCGAGCTCCAGAAAACTGATGTAGCGTAAAGCTCCACCCATCTGTTCCATTTCAACCATCGGTGTTTTTGCACTCATGGAAACACCCTGAAGCAAGCAATGCATGGTACCCGCGATCAAAGCAAGCAATCCATTCTACGCGCTCTCTTGGCCCCTCCTTGGCCTTCACTTGGTGGGAACGTGTGCTGGGTTGGTCGATTGGAGGGTTGGCTGGCTGGCTGGCTGGCTGGCTGGCTGGCTGGCTGGTTGAACCACGCCCTTTCAGGTTTCCCGGTTACACACTCGAGAACCACCGCCTTTCGGCCTCCCCGGCCGGAGCTCCCGCGTCCTCTGCCACCTTCTCCGCCACCAGCTTCTCGAACCTCGCGAAAGGCGCATGCAAGGCTCGTGGGAATGCCGTCCCACTGCTTGAAGCCCCCGTCCCATTCACTCCCCAAACCCCGGAAGCCGTTCACGACGAAAAAGTCGAGCCCGGAAACAAAGAAGGAAACAAAAGAGAGGTAATTACCCGGGTTCGCAAGGGTGCAACTCCGATAGTGAACTGGGTCAACCAATGGACCAAGGCTTCCAACATCCTGACGCTCCATTGTGCAGCCCAACGCATCCCATTCAAGTTCCGAACATGTCTACGATCTCTCCGAGAGTGATGTTGGGCTGACCAATCTTCGCGATCGCTGCCTCGTCCGCTGCGGCTTTGATGGAAAAGATGGCACCGAGTTCAGCGTGATTCGGCCGCAAAGATCGTCGAGAGGCTTCACCTCCTCCTCAGATCGCAGCTGGTTCCCACAAGATATGGCCTCGTCAGGACCGTTTTTTGTTTGGTAGGTACAACTTCAGATCGCATGCGATCCAAGATACACAGGCGTATTTGGGTGGCTGTATTTGCGGGGAACACTCTTTTGGTTGGCGTCAAAGGGAAACCGCATATGCACCAATCGCTTTGGGGTTCCCTAATGTTGAGACGAAATGGTATGCGACTGCACAGGCCTCAAGACCGGGGAAAAAAAAGGAAACAGGAGCGTGACAATCGCCAGGTGGCCATGGCTTGAAATCTCCATCACCCCAAAGGCCACTCACTTTCACTTGGCCCAAGGTGATATGGTGAAACCATTGGATCTGACTTGGCAAAAGGTGATGTGTCAACTACCCCTTGGGGATATATGTGCCGATGGGGGTCGGATTTCCCGGGTGGCCCCATGATTTTACCATCATCAAAGTCACCCCCATTCAGAGGTGGGCTTAAGGGAATCAGGCCCCCATTTTCTGACTTTGATAATAACTAACCCCCAGAGATTCACACCCTACTGTGGATGGACGAGATCCTGCACCACCTAAAAAACCCTGGAACGATCCGGTTCCCTGTAAATACCAACAAACAATTGGTGCGAAATGGATTTCGCCACCATCCCCCTTATTCTTGTACTGGGGTAGATTCATATGCTTTTCTTTTTTTCACCCCCCCTATATATATATATATATTGTTTTTTTCATGCTGGGGTTGATTCCTATGGGGTCCACATGCCGACCGCGGGCTTACTTCCCGGCCAGTCCGCCGCCGCACCCGGCTCCGAGGCGCCACGGTGGTCAAGGGCATCTCCAACGCCTTGGCAGCCGCACCCTGAGCGTGCGGCGCCGAGAGGCTGAGATCCGTCGAACGTCCGCTTCGCTCGTTTTCGGGACGCCTAGAAAAAGCACGGAGAGGGATAGCACAGACCTCTGTAGAACGACTTCTTTGAAATGTTGGACCTGTTGGCTTTTGTGCACTTCCGGGTTAGTTAGGAGGGTTCGGGTTCTTGACTCTTGATTGGATTGGTTTGAGATGGCTGGAGATCTGAGATTTGAACCCCTCCTCATTTCAGCTTCCATTGAAGTGGTGGTTTGGAATGATGCTTAGGTTAGAAAGTGGTTTGGTGCTTTGGTGGCAAGGGGCTTGCTCTACATACAAGAACAGGGCTTAAAATCACCAAACCACCAATCCAAGCCACCAATTAAGGGCGGAAAATTCAGAAGTAGGTCCGTTGACCAATTCCGTATTCTTTCGGTTTTAGGGTGGGTTTGGTTGGGTGGGTTTGGTTGGGTGGGTTGGGTTGGCTTGCTTGGCTTGCTTTGGTTTGGTTTGGCTTGGTTTGGTTTTCACCTGACTTCCCGCGTTGTTTTTGGAGCTGTCCTAGTGCAGTGGGAAGAAAAACATTCCCACCCTGAGTGTCCCTGCGATTGGGTTCTCGTAGGTTGGAAAGCTCATCCCTTTCCTACTAAGAACAAGCGAGTGAGCGCGCAAGCACCGTTAACTTTTGGTTCTACCAGCATAGGAAGGGGCGGAACCAACCTCAAATGGCCGAATCCGTAGGGGCGCTGCATTGGGAAGAACTTGCTTGATCTTTCTGACTAAATGAAATTCGCAACATCCAAAAGAAAAAAATGAATAAAGGGAATTCCCCAAATTCCCAAAGTGGGCACCCAAAGTCCGTTGGCAAGTGGTAAGAGCTCCCCTCAAACCATTGGGATGGTTCGGTTTCGGCTTCTAACTCATCGAACACGCAAGTGAGTCACCATCAAAACCTGGTACTAACCTAGTCTACCCAAATGTGCAGAACTAAATGACCGGCCGCCAGTTACCTTCCACTTAGGCGAGTGCTGAGTGTGGCTTTGGTGACTGCAGGACTCGAAAAGCTACTCGTTGCATGTCAACTCTTTGAGACATATTCCCTACAACCCTTGTTTGTTCTCACTTTGGAAACCACAAGAACCTGAACCATTTGGGGTAGTGGAAATCATCTTAGATAGGAGGTGGCTACCAACCATTCCCTGCAAACATTGCCTACAACCCAATACTGGATGGTAGAGGGCCATTTCCAGTTGGGTACGTGCCCCAAGAGTGTTGTTGGTTTTATCTTCCTCAAAACCAGGCAGGGTGAAAGGGCACCAACGCTGAAAAAAGCCCACACCCATGTCCTGGTAGCCCCTCAAAGGATGCAGGACGTCTGCTTTCCCAAAACGTGGAACCCTCATTGCCTGTGGCTTCTCAGCGTGGCAAAATAAACAATACTCCGAACCTGCTGGTGAACTTATAGTGGATCCTTCAAGCAATGCCCTGTCCAACAACCTCAAAATATCGTTGGACACCCTCAACCACCCAATCTTGATAGAGTTGGGGCATGCTCATGGAGAGTTGGATGAGAATCCAATTCACTTTTCGTGTGCTTTGGGGCAAGAGGAAACCACCTGCCAGCCCAAGATAGAACCCAGGCCAACCCATTTTGGAAGGCCCCTATTCTGTGAATTTTACTTGGGGACTGGACATCATTTAGGTGGCCCAAGAAAATCCCGCTGGAAAACCAAACATCCCAGTTGTTACGTGGCAGCCTCTGCATCCTTGGCCCGAAGGAAGACCTCAAGAAGGGGCCAACTCCAATGAAGCTCCAATTAGGGAGACCTCCCTCATGCCTGTTTCCCCCCCCTCCCCAACAGCCCCTCCCCAACAGCCCCCCCTCCCCCCCCCTCCTCATGGGGGCGGGGGGGGAGGGAGGGGGAGGGGGAGGGAGCCCAAATAAGCCTTATTAAACCCTTAATAAGGCCTTATTTGGGGCTTATTTGGGCTCCCCCCCCCCCCAGCCCAGCCCCCATGAGCTCCCGATCGCCTTCAGCACCGCCAGCGCGGCGGCGAAGTGGGGGCTGCGCTCCGTGGCCTTGGAGCGCTCCGGGCTGGGCGCCCGCGGCACTGGGCCCGGGCTGCTGCCGCGGGGCTCCCGAGCCTCGCCCTCGCCTTGGGAGGAGGTTGGGGGCAGGGGTGGGGGGGGGGGGACCTGGGGGAGCCGGGGGGAGACAGGGCTGGGTTAAAGGATGTTTGTGAGTTAATTGAGCCAGTTGGGGAATTGATCGTTGTAAAATTTCGAGGTTTAGAATGGACCGAATTTCTAAAAATATAATATTAGACAGAA